ATAGAAGGCGATGATTCCATATCTTGGAAAAATGCCATGGAAGATGAAATGTTGGCTCTTCGTTAGAACAAGACTTGGGATTTGATATAATTGACAAATGGTAGAAAAGCGGTTGGTCGCAAGTGGGTGCTCAAAATCAAGAAAGCGATTAATGGAAGTTTGGAAACGTATAGGGCAAGGCTAGTTGTAAAAGGGTTTGCACAAAAGGAAAATATTGACTTTCTTGAAATATTTGCCCCGATTGTCAAGTTAGACTCCATAAGGTTGGTGCTTAGGCGTATTGCAAGCATGATTTGGAACTTGAACAAATGGATGTAAAAACGGTATTTTTACATGGTGAACTTGAAGAAGTGTACTTGCAACAATCGAAAGGATTTCTTAAAAAAGGAAAAGAAATGTTAGTGTGCAAGTTGAAAAAATCCATATATGGACTCAAACAAGCATCAAGACAATGGTGCAAGACTTTTGACATGTTCATGATTAGTCTTGGATACCATAAGAGTGATTATGACCATTGTGTTTATTGAAGTTTTTTTATGGTGGTTCTTATTTAATATTAGTTGTGTATGTTGATGATATGCTTTTGTCATGTAAGGAGAAAGCTAGGATTGATGAGCTCAAGTCATCTTTGAGCAAGAGTTTTGAAATGAAAGATCTCGGGCCGGTAAAACAAATACTTGGAATTTAAATCCAAAGAGATCGACGGAGTGGGTTTGAAAAATATGCTTGATAAGTTTGACACGAGCAAGGCAAATCCAGTGAAAACTCTATTAGCTCATCATTTTAAGTTGTCTTCCAAGTAAAGTCCGAAGACCGTGGATGAAAAAGAGAATATGGCTAAGGTGTCATATGCAAGTGTTGTGGGAAGCCTAATGTTTGACATGTTGTGTACTTGACCGGATATAGCATATTCTGTAGGTGTCTTGAGTCGTTTTATGGCAAATCCCAGAAAAGCTCATTGGGAAAGTACAAAATGGGTGCTTTGTTATTTGAGAGGCACGAGTGATTATGCCATGACATTTAGCAAAGGCTCAGGGCACATTCAAGGCTATGTTGATGCAATTTTGTCGGTGATCTTGATAGAGGAAGATCAACTACCGGTTATGTTTTCAAGTTTGGAAATGGACTGATAAGTTGAATGTCTAAGCTTCAATCAACGGTGGCATTGTCCACCATCGAGGCGGAATACATGGCGGCAACCGAAGCAAGCAAAGAAACAGTTTGACTTCAAGGCCTTATGGGAGAATTGGGTATCAATTGTAAGCCCAAAGAAATACTTTGTGATAATATGAGTGCCATTAATTTGGCTAAGAATCACGTTTATTACAAGAGGGCGAAGAACTTATTAGTTCGATACCATTATGTTTGACAAGATGGTTTGGTTGGGTTGGTGAAAGTTGGAACCAAGGAAAATATAGCGAATATGCTCATGAAGACGGTTCAAGTAGAGAAGTTGGATTGAAGCCTAACTTCTCTAAGTTTCATGAATAAGTAAAGACTATGTTTTTCATCTCTAATTTATTTTCTTAAATCATTGCACACG